TATTCAGAGCCTCAGCTGATGTTTTGCTCTTTAGGGATCACATGCAGGTGTGTAAATTAGAGTAACACTTAGGCTGCAAGCCAGGACTGGCCCAGACTAGCTCATGCAATCAGGGAAGCAAAGCGTACAACCTGCTCCCCTTCCTACCCCAACCAGTGTTCAGACACAGGAGAAAGTCTCTTGTGTTATATTAACTCCACTTTATAATTCTCAGGCAAAAAAAAATCTGAGCCAAGGTCTAGTTACATTTTTATTGATTCCCAGTAAAGTTCTAGCCAAAGAAGGAAATTAGAGGGACTTTCTTCTCAAGATGTTTAATAAAAAATAGAGATGTTGCCACCAAAATAACCCTTGCATAGAAGTCTCAGGACTAAAGGTTTATGTCCCTATGTACCCTGTGAGACTATTGGCAACCTGGGGCCGAATCCTAGTTTGCTTTTCTGCACACTGATTTCTACTTGTGGCAGGATAGAAACTCTCATGAATGTGCACAAAAACCCAAAGGAAAAATGGGGCAAGAGGGGAACCATCCAGTGGCTTTTTGCATTAATAACCTTTGGATAAAATGTTAAAAACATCAGTGGGGCACTTTCTATCCCTGTCGGGGTAAAGACCAGAACCCAGAGGACCTGCTTTTTTAAAAGCAATGCCCATCACATTAAGCCACCTTCCCTCTGCCTTGCTCCTGTTCTGGTCCTGTATACTAGGGCTGGGAGAAGCTTTGGGTGCTAATTCGATTCAGAGGAGATTCAGCCCGATTCGGCAGCCAAATCTCTGAATCCGAATTAAATCAGGAGACCAATTAAAAGGTCCGAATTGAATCGAAGCTCTCTGAATCGATTCAGAAAAGATTCAGAAAGCTTCTGTAATTTGGGCAGTCCCCGCTCACTGCAGCACAGAGCTGGACCCAAACTCTGTGCTGGTAAGTAGGGGACAGGGGAGGGTGGGGGCTGGAGGAGGTGGGGAGAGGACCTTGGTGGGCCCTCTGCCAGGCCCCATCCCCTGCCTGCTCCCCCAGCCCTCCTGAGCACTCCCC